CTGTCGTGCGAGAGGCGGCGCACTGAGCAGCAGAAGGCCGCTCCTGTCGGCCGCCCAGGAGATTCAGAAGTCGTGAGCGAGCAGCTGACTGGCCGGCGCGATTTGTGTGGCTGCGGCCAGTGGGTTGGTGCACTGCGCTGGTGCACTCTGGTGACTTGACGAACTCTGAAAGCCAGGCTAACGGGTCACATCGTCGAAAACTGGTGACTTGGCGGTCTCCCACGAACTGCTAACCTTCTGGTGGCTTGACGTCACTGCAGGCAGAGCACCCATGCTGGCCTGATGGCCTCCTGGTGATCTTCTAATAGCCGTGAGCTGGTAACGTGGTGAACTTTGGTACCCTCGCTGAACTCGTGATCCCCTGAGGAACCGTTGTTACGGTGGGCTTCTGGTGTTCCGCTCACCTGGAGAACTTTAGTGACCTCTTGGTGACCTCCTGGTGACCCCCTGGTGACCTGGTGACCATGCAGACGGCGGCGGTGCACCGCTCGCACCTGATCCACCCGCCGGGCGCGGGCCGACGGCGCGGACACCACAGGGTATGTTACCGCCTCCCTGCACCCGCCGGGTGCTAGCCGCTCACAGAGCATGTGTGCCAGCGGATGGCCGGATAGATAAACCTCACGCATGGGCGGGCAGTCGGGCTCCATAAGCCGGTAGCGTTTGCAGGTGAAGGGCACGGGCGTGTGGTACATTTGCATGCTGACTGCCCCGCCGTGTGGGGCGGGGTGAGGAAGGGTGGAGATTAGAGAGGAGGTCCAGTGTAGGGCGGATGTGGGATGGGGTAGGGAGTAAGAAGGAGTCTCAGAGTCAGCGTAGCCAGGCTTGACGACGTGAGTTTAAATGTGGCAGTCAGAACGTGAGTGCCGCCCAGGTAACTTTGAATTTGCCGTCCTATCACGTCCCAAATTAGTTTGTCTGCATGATGCAAGAAAAACACTTGGATCGATTGCACGGTGCCGCATGGCCGCGACTACCAAATATCAACTTAGCATGTGACATGTCAGTTTTGATCGCTTGTTTGATATCAAGCATTTAATGGATTACTCATCTACGAAACTGGACACCAATAAACATACCGAAATGACCTAGCTGATGTTAAGCCGGGAAGTCAGCCGGGCCGTCGGCGGTTTCCGGCCGGCGCGCGACGTAGTCCTGGACGTAAGATTCGCTGACGTCTAATTCAGCGACGTACAATAGCGTTCTCTGCCTCGCTGGCACCGATGTGGGTGCCTGTTGTTTACCTACCAGGTCGTCAGTACGAGCGTGTGACCAGCTGATGCAAGAGCACGCGTTGTCGTCAGACGAGGCGGCGTGCGCGATCTGGATTCGAGTGCAGTCAAACGGACTTTAATCGATCTACATCATTCCTGTGGTCGATTCAAAATACTTCTTTTGTATATATTCCACCGCGCACCTTGATTAGCGTAACGGCTTTATATTGTGTGAAAAATAATGTTTCAGAAAACTGAAGGCTTTGCTCACCTGTACTACTTTTTCACTCTGTTCACGTAATGCTAGTATTCCGTACGTTCTGGAACTTTACTGTAGAGATCGTGTCACATTGTGCAGGCCGTCACCTCTATCGACCTTGTCCTTAAAGTCGTTTAAATTTACCTGGTCATTGCTTTTTGACCAGCAAACCGCAAAGTATATTGCTGGGATCCGGCCTGTAACCAGAAAATGCAATAATTTCAGGAGGAAATCGGCAGCCAGGATACAAATGCAACGAAGTAAATTATGATATATATATAGTATATATATATATATATATATATATATATATATATATATATATATATATATAGTACATATACACCAAATTGGCATTATTTATGTCCAGTTGAAATAATCGTAAACAGACATTTTCCCGACCTCCATGACAAACGTCCTAGCTCATCAAGACCTCTCAACTGGATTATATATGCATTCCTCATCCTCAACGGTAAATTACCCGAATCTAATTGCGGCAGCCGGTGGTTTCTTGCAGCGTCCACAGCCTGGACATCATAAGACCTCCGCTGACGTCCTGTGCCGGATAAAGTCAGCCGTCCGGCGCACCCCGGCGCGTGCCCTGACCCTTCCCTTTCCACACTGATCGGCATTTGATTCAGGCGACAGCTCAGGCGTGAGCGATCGCCGTCTCAATAGCCAGCACAGCGTGAGAGCGTGCATCCGCCTGGCTGGCCAACATCCGCGTTCGATACACGGGAACTCGACTCCTGACCTGGGAGACAGGAAGACGGCGGCGTCATTAGGCCCTTGACAAGTGGTGCTCACTGGACCGAGCGGCGGTATTGTCGCGCGCTCGCCGCGCGCCTCTCTCCGACGCTGGTGGCGCTCGCCGCGTGCCTCTCTCCGGCGCTGGTGGCGCTCGGACGCGCACCTCTCTCCGGCGCTGGTGGCGCTCGGCCGCGCACCTCCCTCCGACGCTGGTGGCGCTCGGACGCGCCTCTCTCCGGCGCTGGTGGCGCTCGGATGCGCGCCTCTCTCCGGTGCTGGTAGCGCTCGGACGCGCCTCTCTCCGGCGCTGGTGGCGCTCGGCCGCGCGCCTCCCTCCGACGCTGGTGGCGCTCGGCCGCGCGCCTCCCTCCGACGCTGGTGGCACTCGGATGCGCGCCTCTCTCCGGCGCTGGTGGCGCTCGGATGCGCGCCCCTCTCCGGTGCTGGTAGCGCTCGGACGCGCCTCTCTCCGGCGCTGGTGGCGCTCGGACGCGCACCTCTCTCCGGCGCTGGTGGCGCTCGGCCGCGCGCCTCTCTCCGACGCTGGTGGCGCTCGCCGCGTGCCTCTCTCCGACGCTGGTGGCGCTCGGCCGCGCGCCTCTCTCCGGCGCTGGTGGCGCTCGGACGCGCACCTCTCTCCGGCGCTGGTGGCCCTCGGATGCGTGTCTCCCCGGCGCGGGAGCGCTCTGATATGCCTCAATATAATTGCGTTTGTCGCAGCGGCGGACGCAGCAGCCTTGTCGCGGCAGGTGCAGCGGGTCACCAGGGCCTGTCGTTTGAGAAGTGAAGGGCTTTTAGGGAAGCCGTAATCCCATCTATTTGGATCAGACTGCGCTCGAGGTGCTATTGGGTCACCTTCGACCTTCCCCGAACGTTTTCCTGCAGTGTCTTTCCGCTTGACGTGTACCTGCGCCGGTGGTGCTTATTAGTGCTGGTCTGCACCGAACATGGCTGCGATTTTCATCACGCTCTGGCACACTCATATGAACAGCGGACCGGCTGCGAGCGCGTCCCAGTCAGCACGTTGTTAACCAAGCCCGTTTTTATATCGAACGCCCTAGTCATATTCCGTGCTACCCGCGCTTTGCTGGTCCCTGTCACCGGCCTCTGTCCCATCTGACGTCCACTTGTGACCTCTGCCGCGTCAGTGTCCAGGTCAAACAAGGTCAGGTGAACGTCCGCGTGACGCGACGCCGCTGCCGGCGCGCGGCACACGTGCACCCCATTAGCCGGCCGACTCCACAGCTGCCCGGCGCCGCTCCGCTGGTCGGAGCCGGCCCGCGCCGCCCTGGCCGCCCGGGCCCACCACCGTGCTCCACGCGCTCCGACTTTCGTTGGCCATGTCTCGCCACGCGCCCGTGTCGACGCAGTAGCGTGGAATGGCGTTATTCAGGGTCGCCTCGGGTTTGTCTTTAGTTTTATTCCACGACGTGGATGATGTCCATCGAGATCCTGCTGGTGGACCTCACCAACGCGCGCATCGCACTGGCCCCTGGCCTCCGGCCCGTACGCGCGCACACGCATACGCACGCGCACACGCACGGGCACGCGCCGCTGACGAGTCCACCATCCACCACGGCGGGATCGCCGCAGGGCGCCGTGCCTTCCAGCCCGGCCGCCGAAGCCGCGCGGCTAAAAATAGGGAGGAAGCGGCTGGCCCGGCGCTGCCAAGAACGGCCGCAGTCGTACGTGGCGGCGTGGTGACGCCCGCGGACTCGTGTGCCGCGCTGCCCGCTCAGCGCGGAGCGGCGGGACAGCAGCGTCATGCGCCGCTCCGTCCACCACCGTCTGCTGCGCGCCCGCAAGGTAGGCGACTGGCGGCGGCGGCGGCGGCGACGGCGGCGGCGCCGGCCGTCGGTGTCTTGGCGACGCTCCCGGAGCGCGCTCGTCCCGACGGCCCGAGGCTGACCTTTGTCGTCCTGTTGCTGTCGCTGGCATTCCCTGCCCCCCCCCCCCCCCCTCGGCCCGCGGTGTGACATTCCCCTGGCCACGGTCACTTGTGTGTCAGCCGAGCGGAGCAGCGACGGAGGAGGGGGGCGGGGGGCTTCCCGGCGGGGATCAAAAGCACCCCGTCAGCAACGACCTCGAGGGGTCATAGTGATGATGGATAATGGTCGATCTGGGACTCGAACCAGCTGCATCGGCCGGAAGCTTGACAGCTCGAAAAAAACATTTATTCTAGCAGTGTGCATCAGTTACGGAGAGACCATGACTATAAAAACATGATTTTATGTGAAGTAGATGAGGGAAGACTGTGGCAGCCATGCATTGCGCGATGGATGACATTGATTGACCAGCGAACTATCATGTAATCCTTCAGTATGTTTCAAGGGCATGCGTGAATCAAGCAGGCGGGAAGCTGCTGCATGTGGTAGCACAGCAGAACGCAGGGACATCTTAACCCATGGGAGAAAAATAGGGGCAAGAAATCTCCCCGACAAAAATTCCGGAAGGAAGGTCCTAGCATAACGGTTGTGTGGGGTGTGACCTGGCACATGCCTAGCACTTCAGGGGCTAGAGTCTTGTTTGTTGTTGTTTTGTAGACATATGTCCATTAACTTCGAGGTCTCCCAACGATAAATCATTTATCAACGTAGTGGCCATTTACCAACCTGTACATATACCCATGCACCCGCTGCAATGCAGACTGAGCAGTCTGTTTCGCAACTGTTCACATCAACCGAACAAGCCAGAGCGCTCCCCGTGGCCAAAATCTGCGCGCTTCAGGCAGGGGTGTGCGACCAGCGGCGTCGCGTCTCCCTGCGCCGCCCGCAGACGACGCCATCCGGCCGGCCGGCCGTCGGCGGGTCGGCGTCCCCTGGCGGCGCCGCCTCCGATGCAGGAATTTCGGAAATGCGAGCCGGGCGGCGGCACGGCGCTTGTCTGGAGCACGGCCAGCACCGCGGCCGGCGGCGTGGCGGCGCCGTGCGCGCCCGAGCCACGGCCGTGCGTGCCCGAGCGACGGCGTGCGCGCCCGAGCGACGGCCGTGCGCGCCCGAGCGACGGCCGCGCGTGCCCGAGCGACGGCCGTGCGCGCCCGTGCGACGGCCGTGCGCGCCCGAGCCACGGCCGTGCGTGCCCGAGCCACGGCCGTGCGTGCCGCGACGGCGCGCGCCGAGCGACGGCCGTGCGCGCCCGAGCGACGGCCGCGCGTTGCCCGAGCGACGGCCGTGCGCGCCCGAGCCACTGCCGTGCGCGCCCGAGCCACGGCCGTGCGCGCCCGAGCCACGGCCGTGCGTGCCCGAGCGACGGCGTGCGCGCCCGAGCCACGGCCGTGCGCGCCCGAGCGACGGCCGCGCGTGCCCGAGCGACGGCGTGCGCGCTCGAGCGACGCGCCCGAGCGACGGCCGTGCGTGCCCGAGCGACGGCCGTGCGCGCCCGAGCGACGGCGTGCGTGCCCGAGCGACGGCCGTGCGCACCCGGGCGACGGCCGTGCGTGCCCGAGCGACGGCGTGCGCGCCCGAGCGACGGCCGTGCGCGCCCGGGCGACGGCCGTGCGTGCCCGAGCGACGGCCGTGCGTGCCCGAGGGGTTCTCTCGTGTCGCGCTGGATGCAAAGACCGGGGAGGTCGACGAGGGCCGGAATCGCCGGATGCAGAGATGAGCGTTGTGTCGCGGGAGTGATGTATGTGGTGGTGGGACCCGCGACGCGTTTGGAACAGACTGGGTGGTGCTTGTGCATCACTCAGGTTGGGAGCTGCGGTGCATTTCGCACGAGTCTCGCCGAGACATGCAATGTTGGCTGTAACTAATTGCGTTTCCAAGACCCAAAAATGTCGTCGTTACAGAAAGCCTGTGCGCTGAAATATTGCATATCCGTGCATTGCATCACTGTAGCATATTTTGGCATATGTTGCGAACCATATTTCAACGTATTTGACAAGCCATCAGCTACTCAACACAAACGATCACTCAGGTTGACAAATAGCAGAATATGGTACCTTGCCTCGTGACAGGGCCTACTTATCTGTTAAACAATAACAGTATCGCATGGGTTGTATCGCATGTGTATTATCGCGTGTTTAGTATCGCATGTGTGTGTTTAGTATCGCATCTCATATGTCACATGTCCAAATTATCGTTCCAAACAGTTCCAGCTTACGACAATGCATATTTGTGCTGTTACACGCTCACAACGCTTTTTAGCGCTTCAACCAAAGCTATTTCAAGTCATCCTTCAGTTGTGAAGATCTCCAGTTGGCGCAGTTCTCAGTTATCATAAATAAAGCCTTTCCGGCACGATTTCCAAAACAAGACTTACGGAGAGGAGGCAGGAGCAACATTCCGTTTCTCTGTCACTCCGCCACGAGCGAAGCAGCAGCAAGGAGGGCAGACACATCACGTTTTTGGGTGCTGAGTTCGAAAGAGGGAAAGGTAAAAAGCATCCACTTTTGACCAAGCCCAGTGCCCAGCAGTCAATGACGGTGTTTGACACTGATTTACATTTCCCTCGCTTACCGAGGCAAGAGCCACGTCTAGATGAGACAGACGCAGTCAAGGAAAATACGTCACTCCAAAACATCTATCCAAAACTACCCATCCTTTCTGTAGTGTGCTGTCCGACCCATGCCCCAATATGTCGCGAGCTTGGAGAGAGGCGGCTGCCACTTCCCCTCCTCCCACTCCACACCTGGCGCAGGTATTCTGCCGAATTCTGGACTGCGCAGGGCGGTGGGTGTTTCCGCTACACCTGAGGGCCCAGCCCGGTCCTCCCTCGATAGATCGAGCAGGGACTGAGTGACTCCGCACCACACCTGGGGGGGGGGGGGGGGGGAGGCGGGCGCTGGCAACGTGGCGCCGGCGCCGCGCCGGCCCGGGTCGTGGATACATTACACGCGGCACCGGATCGATCGGGGACGGCGGCGGCGGCAGCGGCGGCAGTGCGCGCCGGCGGGGTGTGGCGAGTGGCGCACCGCCAGCGTCGGTCATGCGCCCCGCCGCCGCCGCCGACCATGATGGGGTACAACCACGGCTACAACAAGCTGTTCGCTCAGGTGGGTGATGCTGCCGGTCGGCGTGCGGTCCGTGGACTGCTCGAAACTGGTGGGTGAAGGTGGGCGGACAATGGGCGAAGGGGGGGGGGATGAGGAGACGTCGTGCTGCCGCCGTGGCCGAAGTGGAACAAGTGGACGTGAAGGTGAAGTATCGGCGTGCGGTGTGAGCTCTGTGCAGTGTGGGTTTTCGAGCCTGAGCGAATGGTGGTGTCAGCTGTCGTTTCTCCAGCCGGTGTCCGGAAGGGAAAGACTCCCGCATGTTTGGTCAGTGCTCTGCGAGCGTTGTTGTTGTCTGCTGCTTTGCTGGCACGCGGACCATCATGGGCCAGTGCAATGACTGAGGCCGCCAGAGCGGCTGGAAATGGCGGCGCGCATGGAATGCTTAGGGGATGTCCATGGGCTTCGACCCATGGTGCCTTGGCCGTAGTAGAAAGTTACAAGCAGGTGCTTACTGGCTGTTGGAAAAGTCTCCAGTTGCTCGTGTCAACATGATTCTTTATTCTGCGTACCTGACGGATATATAGTCACTGTCTTGGTGAAATTCGCTTCTTGGAAACCGTAGGTCATGCATGTTCTTGAGACTTTTGTTTTTATTAAAGCTGTCTCATTTTCCTGGTATATACGTTTATCTGAGAAACTGAGTACGAACATCCGCAGGTCGTGCAGTTTGTCCCAGAAATTCAGCCTGTGCTGTATGGTCCACTGGACTGACGTGAAAACTTATGTAACTTCGAGATAGGCTTCAGTCTTAGACCTTTCGCCTGACAGCATTAGAGCAAAATCTGAACATCGAACGAATGCATAATCCAAGGGAACCATGCTGTTTCGCGTTGCCGCACGTTAACATTCTTGTCAAACCGCATTTCTACTCACATTTGCATCCTTGCACTGGCATTTGCAGCATACAGATTTTCTTCACGCGCATGCGCGCACAATGAGCGTGCTATGAATACTCGGTCTGTTCATTTCAGCCGAGAACAATTGCCGCTCGAACAACCTTAACGTGCTCAGTGCACTGGAAGCCCCCCGTCAGAGCCAACCCATTGCGCTTTGAGCGCCGGGCAAAGGCCGCACTCATGCCTTTAAACACATTCCACGGATCGCGAGGCGCGGCCGACACCGCTTTTGCAATGTCCAGTTAGCAGGAGTATTTGCGCGATGCACGCATTTTGGCGGGTCCCTTGGTTCTGGCGCGGTGCCAGGGCCAGGGGAACCGACCAGTCATGGTAACAGTGGCAGTGCTTGTCAGAACTGCTACCTCGGGTACCGCCAGCCCGCAAGTCAAGTTCGCTGTGGTGCTTGCTATTTGTTTACATATATATATATATATATATATATATATATATATATATATATATATATATGTGTGTGTGTGTGTGTGTGTGTGTATGTGTGTGTGTGTGTGTGTGTGTGTGTGTGTGTGTGTGTGTGTGTGTGTGTGTGTGTGTGTGTGTGTGTGTGTGTGTGTGTGTTTGTGTGTGTGTGTGTGTGTGTGTGTGGGTGTGTGTGTGGTGTGTGTGTGTGTGTGGTACATACATATTTAAACGTATCCTGACCGTGTTTTAACCGGTGCCGCCGTAGTTCCAAGACTTGTCGCGAAGACGATTTTTATTGTTTATAAAGGCTATATAAAGGCTCGTCCTGACTATGGTCCTTGTTGTTAACTTTATGCGGCGTTTTTAAAGAATGCACAGATGCGCGGCGCTTTGCTGTCGGCGTTCTTTGCCCGAGCTGGAGTGTCACGGCGAGGGCAGTTCCGTGGCCTGGGTCTGGGTCTGGCCTGCCGAGGGCAGTTCCGTGGTCTGGGTCTGGGTCTGGCCTGCCGAGGGCAGTTCCGTGGTCTGGTTGGTCTGGCCTGCCGAGGGCAGTTCCGTGGCCTGGGTTCTGGGCCTGCCGAGGGCAGTTCCGTGGCCTGGGTCTGGGTCTGGCCTGCCGAGGGCAGTTCCGTGGTCTGGGTCTGGGTCTGGCCTGCCGAGGGCAGTTCCGTGGTCTGGGTCTGGGTCTGGCCTGCCGAGGGCAGTTCCGTGGCCTGGGTCTGGGTCTGGCCTGCCGAGGGCAGTTCCGTGGTCTGGGTCTGGCCTGCCGAGGGCAGTTCCGTGGCCTGGGTCTGGCCTGCCGTTTGATCGGGGAATTGTTGTTGGCTCCGTCGAGCGGACAGAAAGTAGACCCTTTGTCATGAGCTTCGGCCCGTCCTGGTGCCATTTGGCACAGGACGCGGTGCCCGCGCCAGATCCTGGTCCTTCTCGCCAGCCGAGACGGTGACTAATCCATTCACTCCGACGGCACATTTTAGACAAACACTTTGTTTCCGATCGCGCCGCGCGCTGTAGTAAAATCAGGAGAGCTTGCTGTCCTTGTCGCGTGTTCATGTGTGACGATTGGAGCGATTTGCCGTTTTTGCCCCAGCATCAGTGTTTGTTCAGTGATTGCAGCCACCTTCGGCCACCGCGCTATAGGTGCTGCCAACTCAGCTACACCGCCATCACTCCTTGTTTCCACCAAAGCATCTGTCGAAGTGAGGCTGTATTGCTGCGTCGTTGTTCGTGCACTACGAACGATGTCGCCGTTGCTGGTTTCTGCAGTTTGACCTTTGCAGCCTGTGTGTCCGTGAGGGCACTGCCGGTGCGTGATTGTGCGGGACAGAGAGCTTAACAGCTTTTCGCTGGCACTGTCTGTCACCAGGTTAACCCAGCGCCAGCCCGGCTGCGAGAACAGCCCCAAACCCATCCTGTGTCGTGGGGAGGAGGGATTGGGAAAGATAGAGTGAAGGGAGAAGGAGAGAGGGGGGAGAGAGAGAAGTAGTTCGGCAGGAGAGAGCGGATAAACGGGAGGGAAGTCAGTGAGCGTAAAAGGAGATAGTGAAATAATAAATGCCCTGGATAGCTGGAGGTGCCTCTAACCGGACCTGTCTGCCTGGCAGGGCTCGGCTGACTCCAACTACTCGCACCCGTCGTCCGACCTCTCGCTGGACGAGGAGAGGGAGAACCTGCGCCGGGAGACGGAGCGGCAGGCGCTGGCACAGCTTGAGAAGGCCAGGGTGAGTGCCCCCCCCCCCCCCCATTTGGGAGTAGGGTGTAACCCTTTATTGAGCTAGAAACGCGAAACAAATGCGTGGCTTGTTTCGTCATGACCGAAAGTCAGCAGGATTCGGCTACAGAATTTGACTGTGTTTTTAAAATTCTAGTAGAATTTGCAGCAACACCCCACCGTACCGCAACGCTCTCCAGAACCTCTTCTTCCTTCCCTTGTTATGCTTCCTCTACGCCCCATCACTCCCTCGTTGGAAGACGGAGCGTCGGAAGTCACGAAAAGCGGGGAGGCGGGACCCCATGCGCGTCGATGTCGCCTGCCACGCTTCCAGGCATACACAGCGCACCAACGATCTGGTGTGCTCGGTTCAAGGATGATTTTTCCTCAACTCGGCCAGACGCTCTGTTTCACTCTCAGAATTGGACATGTTGCGTTACGACATGGTACACAATTTGCTTGTGGCAATTTTGCATTGTGACGTGGTGTACCGTCAACAGCTATCTGTCCTGGCTAGGATGTAGTTTTACTGCACTCCGCTCACCGTAGTTATGGAAATGAATGTTACGGTTAAATTTCAGCATTGGTTGCATCAAACTTACCGAGAAAAACTGACGGAAATTTCCAACTAGGGTGCCCTCGGGTTACCTAGGCGTCACACCCGACGTTTCGAGTGACCTGCACTTGATGTCCCACACTGCCATCGCGGGAAGGGAGGGTGTGCGCGTGTCACGACTCTGACAGTTCGCTGACCCGCCATGAGTTCCGTGATTGCTGCGTGAGTTCGCCAGCTGTTCGGGACGCTCGACCGTCCGCAGGGGCGAAAAACAGCCCCGTAATGAATATTGCTGTTCTATCAGACGGATTGCGCTGGCGGGGCTCCCGGTCTGGCAGCCAGTAACGGCTGGGATCAGCTGTTAAATGTAAATGAGCTGTTTCAATGCCCTGGCATTGAAAGGCCAGGGCGTTGAAACAAATCTGAGTGCGGTCGGTCAGCAGGCCAAGACAATTTGTTAAAAAAGCATTTGCGCACAATTTTTAGCCTGATGGAGTCGTGAAACTTGTATGTCGTTGCTCGTAGCTTAAATATTAACTTGTCTCATTTTGGCAATCACTTTTGCTCCAGCAAATTGGTGCAAATAATAATGCAAATTGGTAATAATAAATGATGGCAATGACTACAAGGTCATATTCGCCAGTTGAGCTCAGGGGCGCAGCCAGAGCCTTGGTAAGCGGGGAGCATAGGGTTGATAAAGAACTCCTGATTGTGAAGCGGTCCCCCCCGCCGGAAAAAAATCACCAGATTTGTCCCACTTGATTTCGAACGGGCACGACTTTGCCACATTGCCTACTGCTTTATGTCCGTCGAGCTTGGTCGTGGAGGTGCCATGATCAAGTTTCATGGCACCTTTACGTGTGACACTTAGCGATAAAGACGTAAGCATCTTCGAAGTAAATACACGTATTGGCAGCGTGCCAATGCTCGCCACCACGATCCGGTCGTCTCTGCTCCGCCGACCCTCGCACCCTGGCGGCCGGCGGCGGAAGCTCGCTGCTGTCGGTGCGTGAGCGGTCGCTCTGCGTGCCGAAACCGATACAGCGTCTTGACGGCGAAGACATCGGCCGGCGGCTGTGACGGGAACCGGCAGCCTGCCAGATGGACCGGCCACATGGGCTGCGTGCCGGCGCCCGGCCGGGGTCGATAGAGCGGCCGTGGGCCACTGCCAGCGCCATCAGCGCGCATGCCGTCGGATGATAACGCACGGACGCGGAACTTTCTCAAAGTTTGATCTTCGCACGTTGGTGAGGTCGTGATGGCTGGATGCTTTGGTGTGTTTCTGGTACTGTGCACAAAAGAAAGGATAGTTGAAAACCATACACTACCTTCCTCAAAGCGCGCAAATAGTTTATTTCTAAGTTCCATGTTTGTCCTTGTTTAAGCGCTGACCTTCTGGGCCGGTGTGGCTTTCCATGGCTCAGTAAGATGCGGGGGCCGTGAGAGGCGATATTTTCCAGCTCAATAAAAGCACCAAGCTAAATGTAGCACTTCATGAAAAAAGTGCGTGCTCTGATGAGAAAATCTGGTCTCCAGGCTGCCAACATTTGGGGAAATTTAACGTACCGCCTATGATGGCGCTTGTAAAAAACGTAAAATGTCCCGATCCTCTTATTCTGCGACATCACTCGTCGGCTCAAATAATTGCGTGGCCATCTGTATGGAAATAGGTCATAAACGCCTTTTTTAAATCACAATTTTTAGAACCACACCTATTTTCTAGTCCCGCCATCGTTCGAATGTGCTTAAAGACGGCCAAAACGGACTTACTCGGATCGTATGGTTTTTTCCCGTTTTATCCTATAGCTCGGTAGCCAGTGGGTAATGTCGCAAATATAATGACAGAGCATGGGCCAACGTACCGTCTGCAGTTAAAATGACCAGCGTGAGTTTGTGCGACGTACGGGTGCTCCAATAATCGTCGAGTAGGCCGTGAATGTTAATATTTAAAAAACGAAGAAAAAACGGCACCGGATGCAACACGCTGTTGGGCAAAAAACGGCGCCAGGCACAACACGCCGTTCTATTGGGCAAAACAACTCTGGCTGGGAAACTTTAGCCAGCATTGTGGCAAAATTGACCTCGCCGCATGCACAGATTCAGTGTTCATACTTACCACCTGTTTGTTGGTCACAATGTCCCCTGTCCCGTGAATACATTAACTTTACCTATTGGGATACAATGTCACATTTTCACGTCGTCAAAATGCCACCAGTCAATCGCTCAGTCGCCGCCGGCGGGAAGTTCAAATAAAAGACGAAACCTGCGCACGCTGTGTATTGCAGGCGCCCGGCAGCCGTCACTCATTCATATATCCACTGCGGCGAGAAAGGTTAGCTGAGTGTCGATCAAACCCGAAACCACTATCATCATCCGAACTCCTTATTCAGAGAAATGTCAGAGAAACCACGCGTATCGAAGGAAGAATGGTTTGCATCGGGCATGGTAAGATAATCCAAGAAATGCGGTAATTTTTCAGCGAAGCTCACTGCTACGTTAAAATATTACTCCCAGCGGGCCTTCGCGTACTGTGTTTTGTACTCAATAAGGAGTCCGACAACACAGAAGCATTGCAGTAGCATTGAAAAGCTACGGTGGAAAACTTATTTAGATCTCGCATTTGCAGTGGCAGCAAGTGGGGTTTTCTTGAACTGTTGAATTGTGCAACAACGCTCCAACTACAGTGGAAATCTGGAGAGCAGAATTTGGAAGCTGGGCAATAGCTTATTTTGTCTTAGTAAGCAGAGCGTAAGCCCATTACAAAATAATGTCTCAAATGATGTTTCAGAATCATTTATTTTTACTGCTTTGGTGTGCCTGATCAGCTTTCACGCACGACTAGGTGGTGTGAAATCAGTGAGAGCTAAGGCAACGTTTATGTTTGCTTCGAATTAATGTCATCTCTATGGATTTACGGCTACTTCCTGAAACAGATAAAATGAGGTCCCTCTGGCATTTGGAACAGCGCCTTGCAGCAAGCAAACACATGCAAAGATGCACGCGAACTCATTGAAAGAGGGCAGAGAGGGGTGGGTTGTCACTCACCCTTTCTCGGCAAGGTTGTGAGCGATTCAACCCATGATGCCGCATGTAAAGCTGGCATATAGATGAAGTTTTTTTTCCATGACCCACCTACGCCCCTTGTAGTCGGCATATCCCACCCAGCATATCACATAAATACATGCAACAATGATGCACAATGAATGATGATGTACAATAATGCAAACACAAATTATTCATAGGAGCCCCTTCGCTTAGCGAAGCAAGTCCGCAAGTGCTTGTACGTCGCTTCTCGGCTTTGGAGTCGTTCTTTTTCGGATGGAACCCATCCGTAAGTTTCTTTTCATCGAACTTTCACCACTTATGTTCTGAGTTAATTCTGAGTATTCTGAGTTAATGGCGTTGCTGGTTTATAATGTCCACGTGCTGTACTACGTCACACAGTCCAAGGATTCGAGGTAGCAGCGTCAAGGTACAAACAAAAAGAGCGTCAGTCAGAAAGAAGTAGACGGCTGAGTGTAGTTCAGTCATGCTGTGCCATGTCCGTTCATGAGGCATGTGGGACCGCTGAAGATGACATTATGTACTTGTCCATTGCTTGCTCGAGGAACAATTAAGCTACTCCGCTATTAGGTCATTTCTTTGTCTCCCCTCGCAAAAGTAACGTAATGTTAAGAAGTGATTGTATGTACCGATGTGTTGCACTGACTGTAAAAGAGTTGAAAATGGAATAATGCAACCAATAATGAGACATTATTTTACTTCCGCTTAAGGGAAATTACACAACGGGTACAATGGGACGGTGGATCAATTATAGTCACGCAGTGTCAGATGCCAAAGTGAACTGGTATGACGGTGTGACATGCAAAAATTTCCAAGCCCAGGGGTCCAACTCTGATGGAACTGAAATATATGTTGCTTAATTTAGAGCGCTACGTAATAATATGACCATATCATTAGCAGAATTTGAACTGAACTTTTATCTTTTCGCTTCCGCTGTCAGGCTCTGTCGGAATATTCCACCCGTGGCTATTAATGAATATCCCTCACATGTTTCACGCATCTTCCCCTGCCCAGTCCTTAAAATAGATTATATAAGCCTACTAATGCACTTCCTTATATTGCGATTTTTGTAAATAGGCATCAGGCTTTGTTCTATTTCTTCAAGGCTTCAATTATTTTGTTTTTTGGAAAGCTCGCTGAAACATTTGAAAGCCCTAACTAGCTGCCATAACATGCAGAAATGATTGCGTCCATGTCATTCTTTCGTGCATGTTGCCTTTCCGTCGGTCATCGTTTGCCGACACCGCCCTTTGGCTCGTGACTTGGCTCGCTACTTTGGCTCGCGACATTGGCTGGTGACTCCGGCTCGTGACTTTGGCTCGTGACTTCGCCAGGCCTGTCATGACGTGATCACGGATCTGACACGAACTCCTCGGGCCGCAGACAAAGCCGGTAGCGTTCGCCGTGAGGACGAATGTCGCGTACGATGGCGGTCTGGACGATGACTCTCCCGTCCACGGGTCGGCCATCTCCTTCGACGTCAAGGACTTCCTCCACATCAAGGTGCGTTGTATACCTCTCCAGCTGCCTGGTTTCCTTCGCTGATCGTCAGTTGCATTTTGGTGCTTTGGTTTATGGGTTGATGGGGTTGGTGTTACACTGGGTACCGTTGACGTGCAAACTAGTCATGAAATTGCAAGCGCAATAGAGCGGGTGGGCACTGCCCCTTCCCCGGGACAGCTGCAGTAGGTGATTATGGTGGCTTCGTTTGAGAAGCATGTACAACAACTGAGCACGCCTAACACGTCGTAGCAAATACAACTGAACGCCTCTCTCTCCTTCAAGGCGATGAAAACGAGCAATCACCGTCATTGTGCATCCCTCAGAGCGAGCTCAGCATATCACATTTAACTTTTCCTTGGAGACAAGCATGACAGCTGACTGCTGACGCTGTCCATTCCTTTAAGGCTAAGTGTGACATTTCGCCACTGTCCGTTCCCGTAAGACAGCTTACGAACAGCTGACCACCGTACCCCCTCTCTCAAGGCTTTCGCAACTGATCACTACCCATTACCCTCTTCCCAACAAGACAAGGACAGCGACTGATACATGCGCCTCCTCTCAGGATCACTGTAGCGTCTCGTTGATTGTGCTACGGCCCCTGGCATGAACTAAGCCGACAACCCACCGCTCCTCCCCTCAGGAGAAGTACGACAACAACTGGTGGATCGGCCGGCTGGTCAGGGAGGGCGCCGAGGTGGGCTTCATCCCCTCGCCGGCCAAGCTGGAGACGCTGCGGATGCAGCAGGCGGGCAACCCTCGCCTCCACGTCAAGCCGCCCGCGGCCGGCAACATGGGCGGTCTCAACGACGTGTTGTCAAACAGTAAGGACTGGACGGCATGGGAGCTGACGTCGAGCAGGGTTACGAGCGGTAACGCCTTCATGTCGATGTTGGACACTTGTTAAACGCTCTTGGGCACACTGGGGGCCGTACGTGTGGCGTGGTGTAAGTAAACACGGTTGCCGTGCTCTGGTTTGCTATCAGGGAAGACATATGGGCTCATCGAATGTAGGCATTGAACACTCGCCCTTTTCTCTGCAACTCCGAGTGGGTATTGGCTAGTCAACAGCCGGCGGGGCGGCACTAAGAATGCAAGACAGCAACTTAGTTTGTAGGTTGCAGGTGTCAGACATGTTGACGTCACGGGTCAAGGGACACTGTCTCGAATGTTGGGGAAGACAGATATTTTGGCTTCAGGTGAGCCTCACTGACGTTCCAGCAGTTGTTAGTGAAAGTAAGGAAAATGATCAGAAGGGGAAACGCAATTAGATTCAGCGCGAAATACCCACGCCGCAGACAGCGGCCATGCCCTTCGGACCACACCGCGTGCGACGAGCGTGGCGTTGTTACCAGCCGCGCCGCCGCCTGACATCGGCGCCACTGTCGCGGCAGGTCTGGATGTAGACCAGAACGGCATGGAGCCGGCCGTTGGCGAAGATTCCGACTCGGCAGGAAAGGGCAAACCCAATCTCACCACCCCGCCGGCCAGAGAAAAGCGAAAACCGTTTTTCAAGAAACAGGCGAGTGAAGTATGTGTCGTTCTATTATTTTTCTTTGAAAGTAAGTCATGTGCTTCCGTCGATTCTTGGAATGATGACCAAATATGTGACAGGTTTTTATCGATTGCAACGGCAATTATGCATGGAATACCGAAAAGCGCGACTCTTGGACAAACACTCAACGATGCCGTTGCAGCGGTGTTCGGCACCGTTAGTTAATATCAAAAGCCGGCAGATCTGTCTGCACAGACGCAGGTCGCCTTTTTGAAATATGACCGTCTTAAATCGAAAACTGATGCAACCATGTTTGACGAAAGAAATCTTAAAGTTTGCTGCCCGTTTCCTGTCAGGCTCCAGAAGTAAACCGTCTGGTCGTTGATTTCCCTTGAGCCTATCGACTGAGGCACATCAGTTTACATATGGATGTTTTACGTGTGTAGACTTGTGCTGGCTGTGTATGACACGGTATCACTGGCCTTGATCTGTTTATTTAGTGGGACGACTGTCTGGTATTGCTCAGCCCCTGCTACCGCAGCGATCGTATCGAGCGCACGTTTGGTCCCTGAAGCCATAGCAATGCCATCGTGGTAGGCCGGATTGTTTACCCGAAAGTGCCACTTCATGTTTTTAATGGCACCCGCGGAACGAGCTGGTCGCCGAGACCGTGTTCTGTATTGTAATGCTGCATGCATCTGTATCGGTATAAATGTTTTTTTGTTGGCGCATGAGAGGAAACTTTGGCATCACTGGTACCATGCGTTCGTTACCAGCTCAAACTGGAAACATATGGAGTAAATCGCCTCAGTGGTGAAAAAGTTCATTAGCATGGGACGTGCAGCTCAAATTCAAAACTCACGTCAACTCAGAACTCATGCAATCTGACATTTGTGTTAAAACAACTGCTGTATGCTGCATATAGCATGCAGCGTACGACAGTAAAAATGTGCTGTGCACATACTGTACTCATCCATCTCAGCATATGATCACCTACTTTGCCAAAGCGTGGTTGACCTGGGACGAACACAACAGGCCGTGTGCCGCCCCCCTGGTGCCTGTATGCTGCGTGGCCATGCCTGGTTCGGAGCGGCTGGCGGCCGGTGAGCGCGGGTCTGCACTGAAGGCCGTCCTCGTGTGTCCACAGGAGAACCCGGCCCCATACGATGTTGTGCCTTCTATGCGACCGCTCGTGCTCGTGGGGCCCAGTTTGAAAGGATATGAGGTCACCGATATGATGCAGAAAGCCGTCTTCGATTTCCTTAAAAACAAATTTGAGGGGAGGTGAGTAGTTTGTGTGAAGCCCAACAACGTTATATTCGCTAGTTTCGTGTTTGTTTTGTGCCCTTGATTTTATCAGACAACATTTTGATGCTCGTCATTTTCTTGTTTCAACGAGCGCACATGCTATTGCGCATTACCTTACTCGCTCGTGTTTGCCACCTGGCGGTAAGCACTGAAACTCCTAAGCAGTTAATATATGTATATATATATATATATATATATATATATATATATATATATATATATGTATGTATATATATATACATAATGCCGAATATATATATATATATATATATATATATATATATATATATCACCAATAGTAGCGCCGTGACTCACGACACGCCCTGGGCCCCAGGATAATCATCACCCGCGTCACTGCCGACATATCTATGGCCAAGCGGAACTTGCTCAACAACCCGTCAAAGCGTGCGATCCTAGAGCGCACCAGTCCGCGCTCGGCCTGCGTCAGTGAGGTGCTCGCCGAGATCGAGAGGATATTCGAGTACGCTCGAACGCTGCAGGTAAGGGTGGCAGGCCGCCGCAGCAGGGGCGTCACCAGGGTTTGGCGTCAGGGGGCCGCCGATTAGCGCGGGTGAGAGAAGCGGCGGGGCAGGGGACAGTCGACGCTCTGCGGGTAAAACCGCTTATTTCGGTGCCAAGCTTTTGGGGTGTTGGGTCAGCGGCTGACTGATCCGTGTGTTCACTGCCCGCACCCCCCCCCCCCCCTCCATAGACTGGGGACGCCCCTTTTGTCCTACATTGCAATCTACCTAAGCCGGTGAAGGGAGACCAGTTGGCGGGACCGAGACTGATGGCCAATGCCATTGGCACCCGAAGTCCGCCAACTGCAACAAAAAGCCGCTGTGAGTGCGAAGCGCTGCTGTAATTACGTCCTTCAAAGGGGAGTCGGAGGACACTGAAAGTCATTCGGTCATCAATCAATCGGCCGTCTTTTATTGCCAAATCCGTGATGTGCCTGCAGAGATGAGCACGGCACGAATTGTGCCGAGTATGCTTATCTGGCTGTTTTACGACGTGGTGTGCGGAATCGGCGAACGCCGGCTCGTTTCTTCGGATAGGATGTTGTTATGGGCGCTGCGTGACCTACAGCAGTCGATGCGCCCCAAAACCGCAAATCATCATCACCATCATCGGATAGGATGTTCTCCGCGGCTTGCTTGGTGGGCCCGAATCAAAGCATGCTTCAAAACCCCGAAACATTTGTGCACTCAATCATGAAACGAAACTGACGGCTGTCACGTACGTAGGATGTGAGTGGGCCGTGAGCATCTGTGACTTTCAGTCGTGTTGCGTAGGTTCACAAGTCTTTGTTGACCCTGTGTTTCAGCTTGTGGTTCTTGATTGTGATACTATCAACCATCCGTCGCAGCTAGCGAAAACTTCACTAGCTCCCATACTGTGCTACATCAAAATATCCTCGCCAAAGGTGAGTGAGCTCATGTCTATAAAGTTTCCCGGTGATTTTCACCATCCAACATCACTGAAATGTAAATGCTTAATATTTTTGCTCACGCATTCGGAGACACCCACCAGGGAAACCAACCTACTAACCTCATTTAAGACAAAAAAAAAAGACCAAGACTGTCCAAACCGTTCATTAAGACTAAGACCGCTCTCGCTGATCATTAAGACTAAGACCGTTTAGTCTAAGCGAGGAAATTCTGAGCGAAAACACGCGTCTTGCACGAGGTCGAGCTGTTTTACGAACCGTCCAATCAGGCGGGGCTGGCCGTTAATAAACATCACGGCAGGTTGCCGTTATTTCTGTGAACGGACCAAGCCCATGGTACATGATGGGCTGTAAACAAGCCAGCCGGAATGTGGCAGCAATGTTTTGCCAGACGCCACGGCATCGCGCTTGTCCGCTGCTGATGGAGGCGCTGACGATGACGCTGTAGGTGCTGTCCACCGTTGCGCCACCTGCTGACTTGGCCGGATCAGATGCAACCTGATCTCATCAAATAACATTTAGCACGACACAACCTATCTGACCTGGTCAGGTCAAGTCTGGTCTGATCTGATGGAATCCGACATAACGTTGCCAGATCTGAAGTGACATAAATTGAATTTCCCTGACCTAACCTGAACTGGCCTGGACTGACATGAACCAACCTTTAACCTGACTTTAGGTTATTTGACCAACGAACTTGATCTTACTTGATCTGCTGTTTTCGAACCTGACCTGTCTTGATCTTGTCGGTCCTGCCTTGACCCAACCTGACCTGACCTGACCTGACCTTGCCTTGCCAGGTGCTGCAGCGACTGATTAAATCTCGGGCAGTCACCAGTGATGGGAATTGCCGCGCGAGATTAATCAGTCGCTGCAGCACCTGGCAAGGCAAGGTCAGGTCAGGTCAGGTCATGTTGGGTCAAGGCAGGACCGACAAGATCAAGACAGGTCAGGTTCGAAAACAGCAGATCAAGTAAGATCAAGTTCGTTGGTCAAATAACCTAAAGTCAGGTTAAAGGTTGGTTCATGTCAGTCCAGGCCAGTTCAGGTTAGGTCAGGGAAATTCAATTTATGTCACTTCAGATCTGGCAACGTTATGTCGGATTCCATCAGATCAGACCAGACTTGACCTGACCAGGTCAGATAGGTTGTGTCGTGCTAAATGTTATTTGATGAGATCAGGTTGCATCTGATCCGGGCCCAGTCAGCAGGTGGCGCAACGGTGGACAGCACCTACAGCGTCATCCGTCAGCGCCTCCATCAGCAGCGGACAAGCGCGATGCCGTGGCGTTCTGGCAAACATTGCTGCCACATTCCGGCTGGCTTGTTTACAGCCCATCATGTACCATGGGCTTGGTCCGTTCACAGAAATAACGGCAACCTGCCGTGATGTTTATTAACGGCCAGCCCCGCCTGATTGGACGGTTCGTAAAACAGCTCGACCTCGTGCAAGACGCGTGTTTTCGCTCAGAATTTCCTCGCTTAGACTAAACGGGTCTTAGTCTTAATGATCAGCGAGAGCGGTCTTAGTCTTAATGAACGGTTTGGACAGTCCTTGGTCTTTTTTTTTGTCTTAAATGAGGTTAGTAGGTTGGTTTCCCTGGTGGGTGTCTCCGAAATGCGTGAGCAAAAATATTAAGCATTTACATTTCAGTGATGGTGGATGTGAAATCACCGGGAAACTTTATAAGGACATGAGCTCACCACTCCACCTTTGCTGAGGATATTTGAATGTAGCCCAGTATGGAGCTAGTGAAGTTTTCGCTATGCTGCAGGTACGGAATGAGTTGACTTAGTTATCACAATCAAGAACCAAAGCTGAAACACAGGGTCAACAAAGTACTTGTGAACCTTACGCAAACACGACTGAACGTCACAGAATGCTCACGGCCCCCACTCACATCCTACGTACGTGACAGCCGTCAGTTTCGTTTCATGATTGATGTGCAAAATGTTTCGGGCGTTCTGTTTTTTTTTAAGCATGTTTTGAGTTCGGCCCCCCACCAAGCAAGCCCGCGGAGAACATCCTATCCGATGATGGTGATGATGATTTGCGGTTTTGGGGCGCATCGACTGCTGTAGGTCACGCAGCGCCCATAACAACATCCTATCCCGAAGAAACGAGCCGGCGTTCGCCGATTCCGCACACCACGTTAAAAAACAGCCCAGATAAGCATACTCGGCACAATTCGTGCCGTGCTCATCTCTGCAGGCACATCACGGATTTGGCAAAAAAGACGGCCGATTGATTGATGAGACCGAATGACTTTCAGTGTCCTCCGACTCCCCTTTGAAGGACGTAATTACAGCAGCGCTTCGCACTCACAGCGGCTTTTTGTTGCAGTTGGCGGACTTTGGGTGCCAATGGCATTGGCCATCAGTCTCGGTCCCGCCAACTGGTCTCCCTTCACCGGCTTAGGTAGATTGCAATGTAGGACAAAAGGGGCGTCCCCAGTCTATGGAGGGGGGGGGGGGTGCGGGCAGTGAACACACGGATCAGGAACCCGCTGACCCAACACCCCAAAACTTTGGCACCGAAATAAGCGGTTTTACCCGCAGAGCGTCGACTGTCCCCTGCCCCGCCGCTTCTCTCACCCGCGCTAATCGGCGGCCCCCTGACGCCAAACCCTGGTGACGCCCCTGCTGCGGCGGCCTGCCACCCTTACCTGCAGCGTTCGAGCGTACTCGAATATCCTCTCGATCTCGGCGAGCACCTCACTGACGCAGGCCGAGCGCGGACTGGTGCGCTCTAGGATCGCACGCTTTGACGGGTTGTTGAGCAAGTTCCGCTTGGCCATAGATATGTCGGCAGTGACGCGGGTGATGATTATCCTGGGGCCCAGGGCGTGTCGTGAGTCACGGCGCTACTATTGGTGATATATATATATATATATATATATATATATATATATATTCGGCATTATGTATATATATATATATATATATATATATATATATATATATATATATATATATATATACATATATAACTGCTTAGGAGTTTCAGTGCTTACCGCCAGGTGGCAAACATGAGCGAGTAAGGTAATGCGCAATAGCATGTGCGCTCGTTGAAACAAGAAAATGACGAGCATCAAAATGTTGTCTGATAAAATCAAGGGCACAAAACAAACACGAAACTAGCGAATATAACGTTGTTGGGCTTCACACAAACTACTCACCTCCCCTCAAATTTGTTTTTAAGGAAATCGAAGACGGCTTTCTGCATCATATCGGTGACCTCATATCCTTTCAAACTGGGCCCCACGAGCACGAGCGGTCGCATAGAAGGCACAACATCGTATGGGGCCGGGTTCTCCTGTGGACACACGAGGACGGCCTTCAGTGCAGACCCGCGCTCACCGGCCGCCAGCCGCTCCGAACCAGGCATGGCCACGCAGCATACAGGCACCAGGGGGG